TCTGAATCAAAAGATAAAAAAATTGGGTTCAACTCGATTGTGTCAGCTTTGATAATTAATAATCATCCTACGGAATTTGTGAAGGTAATTATAAAAAAGGGGATAAAATTTAACAGTAATGATAAACTAAGAGAATCGATTTATATAACAGTGATACCATATCCCAAAAGAACTTCTGGAGAGATAACAGCGATCCTGAACTAATATAACATAATAGTATTTTTCCCAACAAACAATACTCATAGTTTTAAGCTAATATAAGTCAAGAACATAGTACCACGAAAAGAATAATGAAATTTTATGTATGAGATCAAATATGATACATGAAACAGTATATATTTAGGTAGGAGGGATTCACGGTGGCTGAACGTAAGAGTGAAGAAACACAAGGAAACATTTAAACCTTCAGAAGACCTCCAAAATCCAGATCAGAAGTCAATGATAGCACTACACTCAATAAAATCTCGACTCAGATGACTTCAGAAAAGTTTCAGTTTGTACAAAGAAAGATTGACAGCGGAAGCCCTATGTAAACAAAAACAATATAAACAGAAGAGATGGAGTACAATTAACTGTATAATGGAAAATAATAATAAGAAAATCTAAATTTTGTTTTATTACTAGTAATTCGTTCCACTTTTTTTAGAAAACATATACTTTCATTTGTTTTGATCAGTTAGTTGCTTGAATGTATGATTAACAACCAGCTTGGTTAGCACAACATAAACTTACATTTATTCATCAGTATGAGGTTGTGGAGATTGTTGAGTTTAGATTGGTATCATGAATGGATCAATTTCAGACCACCATCAAAAACCTGGAAGCATTGGATAGCCATTTCGTCCTAAAACGGGACTCCTCAGCAGTGTGCATCCACTATTTTGCATGCGAGACTCGAACCCAGTACCTTCAGTTTCGCTCGCGAACGTTTAACCTCTAGACAATTATGCCAGTATCTAACGCTGTTAAATTCTAACTCCCCCCAACCCACGATATTGCGCGACCATCAACCACTGTCTTCAGTGAGTAACTGACTCACAACAGATACGGTCGAACTCCACTGGTTACATTTATTTTTTTGTCTATTCTGATTTCATGTATGCTGTGACCAGTTTGATTTAAAACATCTATCAAATCGTCTAATTTTATCAATGTAGATGACTCTAGTTCATGTATGGTTAAATTATTAGCCAAACACAGACAACACATACATACACTTGTTTTCTCATTATAATTTCTCCACAAGTCACACTAAATAACCCATACTCACACCACAATAGGTCCCACATCCGTCACTATTAACATAACTAAACAAATTTGTCTAATACAGAGAGATAACTTGTGAACCAAAATTTTTCTAGTCTATTATCTCGTTTATTAATTATTCTTTTTAGAGAAGGAAGCCTGACCCATATATAGATATATATATATATTTGTTGAAAGAAACAAAGACCAGCATCAAATTGGACATTTTGATTTCTTTCATTTTTTTAATGCAACATAATTGATGAATTTGAAACGTTTCAATTGATAAAAACAAATCATATCAATCATAAATCATTGACAGGTATGTTCTAGATAATCTTTAAATTAGTATGAAAGAAAACAAACAAACATGGATCAATTAGCCTAACTAATTTTTTAAAATAATCATTCTAAATTCACTTAGTATTTTCATAGTTGAAATCATGAGTCAAATGAAGCTAGACCACCATGGAAAACCTGGAAGCACTGCTTGACGGTCGTTACGTCCTATTGTGGGACTTTTTAGTAGTGTGCATCCACGATCCCGTCTCGCGAGATTCGAACTCAAGACCTACCAGTCTCGCTCCAGAGCACTTAACCTATAGACCACTGAGCCGGCATGCAACGGTGTTAATGTCTAACTTCAACCAATCCACGATGCTTGAGCAACCGTTCATAAATTGTCTTCAGTGAGTTTATATCTCTACAACAGACTTGGTTTAACTCCACCGATCACTGCTTCCCACTAGAACTTAAGAAAACATCCCTTGAAGTTAGTCACTAGTAAGCATATGACTATAGATCAGAAGGAGACTTCAAGATATTTCCTTTTGATCACTTGGTATTGTTTGCTCATATATCTGCTCATTGTTGTTTAGGACTAAAATTGATCAGTCTCTTAACAGCATATGTGCATACTGCGAGGATTGCCTTGATATTGTTTCAAGTCACAAGCTTGATAAGCAAAGATGGATGGTGGCTAGCAGTGGAAACCCTGATGCATGTTTCTTCTTATTTGAGATTTGTTAGCTGGATTTACCTGCATCTCAGAGTTGATGCTCACTCTGGAACTCGAACCCAGTACCGTTCCAACAAGCAAACAACACAATAATTAATCCCCCCTAAACATGATTCATTCACATCGCATTGATCCCTCGTTATTACGTCTCACTAATTTTTCACACATTTAGTCTTCCACTTGATCGAATTGTAATTGCACTATCATATCTCTCTCACCCTATCTGACCCATATTTATTCTGATCACAGATCTTAAATTTTCACTTTACATATATACAGATTCAAGTTAACATTCTATATGAGTCATATCAACATTAACAATTTTATTCTATTTGATTTGACATTCCTAAATTTACATGCTTTAAACGATGTACTTTGCCTTTAACCTGGCCATTTTTTTCAGGTTATCAATTTGGATATATAATTGTAGAAACTGAAGAGAATTTATCGAAAAGAATATTCTTCGTTCAAATATTAGTCTTTTAATATGATTAGGATTTTTAAACGACAATACCAAATAGTTTAAACTTCACCTCATTGCGTAATTTAGTGGCCATCAGGACTCAGTAGCTGAATGGATAACGCAATGGCGTTTGAAGTAAAAGGTACTGGGTTCGAGTTTCAGAGTGAACATCAACTCTGAGATGCAGGTAAATTCATCTGACGAGTCCCAAATAGGATGAAACGCGCGTTCTTCATTTCACTACTGGCGACCACCCAACTCTGCTTATAGATAACTTTAAATGACTTAAAATGGACATTATAAAGCATCAATGAAAATAGGGAGAGTGAATCTCACTTGTGCTTGCTTAGTTTTCTTGTTAAACAGACAAAGTGAAAATATCTAATAACTGGAAGAAAAAACAGTGAAAAATGTAAATGAATTGTTGGGTTGTTTTTTCTTCAAAACTATTTTTTTTTCTTTAGTTTTCACTGTTTCTGAGAATTTTTAAACAAGAATTAATTGTATGTGATTTGATTTCTTTTGTCATTAAATGAAGTTTAGTTTTAATTCATAAAGAAACGTTAATTAAATTAGTTTCTCTGTAAATTCAATCTATCACATATTGATAGAACTTGGAAAAAAAAGAAATAATTCTGTGAGTAGGAGATGTCGTGCTTACAAAGAAACTTTGAAGGTATTGGTCGAATCGCATGTTGTATGGTTCGCATTATTTTTTTTAGTCCCCATACCAGTAATAAATAGGTGCCCTATAGTGCTAGGTCTTCTACGATTTACTGACTGATCTCAGTTCACGAATAAGAATATCTTTAAAAACTGACATTCTGTCTTAAAAGTATCTCGTGAAGTAATGTTTTCAAAAAGTGGAAGAAAATCAAACCTTATGAATCAATTATCACCATTAACCATCTTGATGTATAAGCTCGTAACACATTAAATCATTTTATTTATTTCTAGTGAAACAATCATTTCACACTTTAAAAGCATTACATTATTTTTTTTCTTTGATTGATCTTCATTACTAATGGGAGTATAAGAAAATGCAGTGAAATGCATTAGTTTCGTTTCACTCGTTAATAGTCCGCTCTTGAGCTACTTCACTGTCTCCACTCCATCATCTTAAAGCTTTTAACTCTTGTTCATAAGTCTGGCTTACTTTATTTATTTCTTTAACTTGTAATCTACAGTTTGTTACAAGCATTATATGCAAACTTCGATAGTGGCTAGCAGTGGAACCCAGAATGCGCGTTTCGTAATATTTAGGGCTCATCAGATGAATTTACCTGCATCTCAGAGTTGATGTTCACTCTGAAACTCGAACCCAGTACTGTTCGCTCCAAACGCCATCTTGTTAACCACTCACCTACCGAATTCTGATGGCCACTTACTTACGCAATGAGGCGAAATTTAAATTCAATCTGTATTCTTTATTTGAATCTTCCCATTGACGTTTAGGAATGCAATTGGATTCCACTGCTAGCTACCATCCATCTTTGCTTATCAAGTTTGTGACTTAAAGCAATATCAAGGCAATCCTCACAGTATGTACATATACTGATAAGTGACTGATCAATTTTAATCCTAAAAATCAATGGGAAGGTTCAAACAGACAATACAAAATGAATCTACAGTTTGCCAGTTTACATTAGAGTGTCGCAGAAATAATAAATGCAGTTGGTGACAAATCTTTTTTTAATTTCATATGTAGTAAGTCTGTAGTATAAACTATGGCATCAACTCATGAACGTTAATTCATCAAGATTTTACTCTAATATTCGTAAGCTAAGTAACATATTACACTTGAAATATTATTTTGATATTATTTTAAATTGATAAATGAGATCTTAAATAGTTAACCAACAAATTAATTAGTATGCTCATTCATTCATCATGAGATAAAAATGATTGAAAAATTATTTCTTACTGAACGTGCATCCGAAAATATAAATAATAGAAAAAAAAATATTTTTTTGATAGATTAAGTATCAGATGTAGCGGAAACACTGTTTATTCCAGATGACTGAAAACTATGCCATAATAATAATATCCCATGAAGGAAATAATATAAGATTGAATATTTGGTGTATATACAATAAACATTGACAAACTATGACATTTTTCATAAACAAATTTCTTTATTTCTAATTAATTAACAATAAGTCATGAATAGGAGTTATTCTACAGACATATGTAGGAAGGATTCAGTACGGGATAAAGTATATAACATTATAGACTTTTGTAGTAGTCATATTTCATATGCATTAAAACATTTGAATGAAGTTTCGTATGTTTGTGTTGTTTGTGCATGATGATGATGATGATGATGATGATGATGATGATGATGATGATGATGATGATGATGATGATGATGATGATGATGATGATGATGATGATGATGATGATGATGATGATGATGATGATGATGATGATGATGATGATGATGATGATGATGATGATGATGATGATGATGATGATGATGATGATGATGATGATGATGATGATGATGATGATGATGATGATGATGATGATGATGATGATGATGATGATGATGATGATGATGATGATGATGATGATGATGATGATGATGATGATGATGATGATGATGATGATGATGATGATGATGATGATGATGATGATGATGATGATGATGATGATGATGATGATGATGATGATGATGATGATGATGATGATGATGATGATGATGATGATGATGATGATGATGATGATGATGATGATGATGATGATGATGATGATGATGATGATGATGATGATGATAATGATGATGATGATGATGATGATGATGATGATGATGATGATGATGATGATGATGATGATGATGATGATGATGATGATGATGATGATGATGATGATGATGATGATGATGATGATGATGATGATGATGATGATGATGATGATGATGATGATGATGATGATGATGATGATGATGATGATGATGATGATGATGATGATGATGATGATGATGATGATGATGATGATGATGATGATGATGATGATGATGATGATGATGATGATGATGATGATGATGATGATGATGATGATGATGATGATGATGATGATGATGATGATGATGATGATGATGATGATGATGATGATGATGATGATGATGATGATGATGATGATGATGATGAATGTGATGGTTACTTTGTACAAACTGAGCACATAACATGGATTTTGATACAGTACGTCTAAGAGTGTTCCCAATTTCCTCACTTCATTCATGTGCATGTGCATTTACGACCTTTAGAGTTTGGAACAGATACATCTGTGAATTACTAGTACATTTATTGTACTCACTACTACTACTTCTACTTTTCATAATATTTTACGTTATTTTTTTAATTTTTCTTTGCCACAATTTGTTGAGAACTTCCTATAAACTTCCTTGAAAATTTTTAAAGTGATAAGTATACCTGTTTAAAATTAGTGTTATGTATATATTGTTAGTCACTTCATTTCGAAATGTAACCTGGAACTAGCAGTTGCTTTAAATGGTCACGAGAGTCTGTTGAGTCCATATCAATTTGTTTTAATCTAAAACTAACTGAATGAATAACAAATATATATATTAGATATATGTCTTCAGCTGTACTTAAAAAGAAACCTAAAATGACATTTTCGTTGCTATGAGTTATTGGGATCGGCTGCATTAAAATTGAAAAGAAAACTTTACAAGTCTATTTGCGCGATATAAGAATCGTGATAACCTTTTCATATATAATCTATTGTAGTTTAAATTTCCACACAACCTTCTGTTATTATTAGTGACTTGTCCTCCACTGCACAATCGTAGAATTAAGTTCGGTACTGAACAAATAGTGTCACCATGCTATACAGACAATAAGCCTTTTGACAACATTCATACACTTAAAGAAGAAATATGTTTATAGCAAACAAGATACGTGTTTTTGTCAGATAACAATCAAAATTCTCAACCGTTCAAATGGTAAAAACCAACAATTTGTACAAACTTGGTAATGTGGTGTATATTACTTATGCTGACAGATATCGGAAGTGGAATGCTTGATAGCATAAGACTGAGAAGATTGAATTCAAGAGAACAGGAAGAGAAACAGAGAGCAATTGGAATAACAAGAGAATTGAAAAAATCATGAAGTATGTAGAGGACAACTGATGGAAGATGTTCAAATAATGTACTTAATGTATGTTTTTCATATTTTACGAAGGCATTGAGTAATTTTACATTATATAATAGACTGGTTTACCCCACCTAGTTTTCTTCCATTACAGTACTACCAAGCTGTAGAACATCAAATAATTAAATTTCATCGAAACCATGAAACGAACAATATTAGCCTTTCATCAAAAACCGTGGACCATTAGACAGCCATTTTGTTCCAGTATGGGACTCTTAAGCAGTGTGTACCCAAGGTCCCACATTCAGAACTCGAACTCAGGGCCTTCGATCTCGCGTACCGACGCCCATACTTTAAATCACTGAGCCAGCAGGGTTAATGTCTAATTTCAACTATCTCATCTGAGGCTAAAAGATGGACAGAATACATAAATGAAAGTGTCACTTTACATTTAGGATGAGGCAAAAGGTTATTGTTACATAAAACGTACAAGTAATGGGATTCTCACAAGCAAACTCATATGTTTATACAAAAACCTATAAAAGGTTTACAAGCTTAGCTAGCATGATTTATGTTACTATCATTTATCATTTAGACATTTTTTCACCTTTTCCGATCTTTTTTAAGCTGTTCATAAAAAGGATGAACAGTTGTATAACTATTCTTTCTAGTTAAATTAGATCGACTAAGTAGACGGTTTTGTATTATTAGAGTCACTGATTTCAAATCCAATACTAGTAATAGAATCACTCATTTATTGATAAAAGAAGTCAACTTTCAATAGCTATGGATTATTCATATCCACTGTTTAAGATTGTCGAAGGACTCTGACAATTTCCTCAAAGCATCAAGTAGCGGCAATGTAGAAATTAATTGATCAATATCACATCATTATGTAAACACTAGTTTGGGAATATACCTTATAACGTGAGCTCATTTGTGAAGGGAGTAGCTACAATTCTTCAGGCTGTTGCTGGACACAGATGCAGAATTGTTGGATTACAGATATACAGAAATCGATCAGTTCTGATTTAAACCAACCTTTCCTACATTCGTCTATAGGTTCCAAGTCGGTAATTTGTTGATACAGGATTTCAAATTGCGTTTGTATATCAATTTTGTTGACATTTTTTATAGAACATGAAATTAAAATCCAGGAGAGAGAGAGAGCTTGACTTTCAGTCTTGTTAAGCCTTACACTTGACAGATTATGAATAGAAATTTTCCGTGAAGGTAGAAGTTTGGTTGAAAGAAGTAGAATATCATTTAACGCACAGTAATTTTTGGATTTTTTCAAATAAATTTTTTTCAGTCATTCCGTTTCATCCAATTGAATGATTAGTTTTAAATTGATAATAATTACTTATTGATCTCTTAAAATTGATATAAAATGTAAGTACTTGTCGACAGAGCACCCTTTCTTCAAATTATGGACGTTAATAACGTACAAAATACATGCTCTATCGTTCTCACATTGTCACAGACACGGATTACGTGTTCTTGAGTACATTGCATCTGCTAGCATTCTGATCATTTGGAGCGTTAAAAAGTGCCATGAAGGGGGAATGTACTGCCAACACGTAGTGCATGATCTTCATGTCCATAAGGATCAGAAGCCGTACATTAAATTTGTATGTTGGAGAAATGGCCGTAGAACACCTAGTGGATCCTCACAGACGAAGGAGTTAGTTTGAATAATGTTATTATATTGTTAATGAAGGATCGCAATGAACACTCACTGTCCGACCTTCGTCTATTGTAAGTTTATTGAAAGTCATTGGACTGTTGTACGTAAGAAAGTGCATCACAATCATGAGTACAATTCCCTAAAGTACAGCAGCAATTCCTGGATGCACAAGTTAACGGACGTAGAAATTGAAACAGACTGTGTGAGATATGCAATTTTTCTCAGGCGCTAAGTGAAACTGCTAATGGAAGCACTATGATTTTTTGTCGTTGAAATGCAATGTTTCATTCGTTTTGTGCCCGCGATCCACAACCACAATTACATGGATTCCATTATCCCATTTGCGGCGCGATAACGGAATAATTGATACGCGATTGTTAAGAACAATCGAAAATGTTAAGAGATCGAGTGTAGGCCCATTTTAGGGTCATGCACAATTAGATTTAAATTCTATTTTTTAATTCGTTACAAATTGTATCAAAAAATTTTTGTTGATCTCATTCCATATACCTTCTTCGTTTTTTTAAACGACAGTTCCGCCATTATTGCGTTCAACATTAATTCTCTATGAAGTAGTTTAACAGTTTCATTTGATATTTTCCGTAGTATTTCTGTAAGAAATTCACCAGCCTGTGTTCTTCAAGCACTAAAACGTAAGAAAACTTTTAGCCTTACAATTACCAACTTTTTATTGTCTGCGCTAAGACTAATTTGTATTAGTATTTGCAGATAACCAATATCTATTATCTTGGCATATGGCATTAACTGTGAATTAAATGAACTACTATTTATCAGTGCCTGTGAACTCCTTTCCTACGTAAAATAATTCAGTCAATACTGATAAAAAAGTTCTTTGACCTTAAAGTGTTTACTGAAAATTAGTGCGAATAAGTTTATCATTAATGTTGATTTACTGTACCATAGGTTGGAAATTATGTACTGAGATCAGATCACTGTTACAACAAAATTATTTCTATGAGAAAGATCAAAAGGAATAACAAATTTTAATCAAGCCCTACTGTGATTAGGTTATATAGTCAATTGAGAATAATAATGATAATAATGTGATTATAGCCCACATATTAGTGATACTGTTTTATGGTATTTCAAATGTCTATATCATTTAATGAACACTGAACTGTTTAACAAAATTCTAATAGAATGTTTCAATGTTTTTTACATCATTCAGTTAGACAAACGTAGACTTCCATTTATTACATCTAAATCAAACGTTGCTAAACGTAAATTGATATAGTTGACGTTATTCGCACTTAACAGTATAATCGACGTAAAAATTTATTATGTCAGACGTAAGCCTGTAAATTTGTGCTTAATATGACCAATATTTTAATTACTCGTCAAAAATAGTTATTCTTGTAACGTTTAGGTGTTTCATGTTCAACATTACCATAATAAAACATTGACTAGTTCCACTGAATCCACCGGATATCGAAGCAGCTCACAGATGTATTAAAAGTGAGGACCTTAGTCATACAAGGCTGACTACTCTCCCCATCTCACTTTCTTCTGGTGGTTGACTGGATTAGAAGACCTCGACATCTGAAAAGAAGTACAGAATAAAATGGGGATGTTGATTGCAACTAGACGATTTGGACTTCTCAGATAACCTGGTCTTTTTATCTCACGCACATGAACAAATTCAGTTCAAGACAATCATTGTAGCAACAGCCTCTACAGCAGTAGGCCTCAACATACACAAAGGAAAAATCAAGATCCTGGAATGAAACACAGAGAACACTAACCAAACCACACTTGATAGAGAAACTTTGGAACAGGTGGAAACCATCACGTACCTAGGGAGCAGCATCTATTAACATGGAGGATCTGATGCAGAGGTAAAGCCGAAGATTGACAAAGCAAGGACAGCATTCCTACGGGTGAAGAACATATGCAACTCAAAACAACTGTCAACCAATATCAAAGCCACAATCTTCAGTAAGAACGTCAAGACACTTCTACTGTTTGGAGCTGAAACGTGGAGAACTACTACAACCATCATCAAAAAGATATAGGTATTTATAAACATTTGTGTATGCAAGATGCTCAATGTTTGTTAGTCGGATACCACCAGCAACAGCCTACTATGGGAAAGAACAAACCAACTTACAGTTCGAGAGGAAATTAGGGAAAGACGATGGAGATGGATGGGACATACATTACAGAAATCACCAAACTGAATCACGAGGCAAGATATAGCTTGGAATTCTGAAGGGGAAAGTTAGACCAAGGAACACATCGCATCAGGAATTAAAAGCGGACTGTTTAAGGAGTTTAGGGTTGTTATAAAATACATATAAAGTGCACCTAGTATGAGCTGTGACCCTGAAAGACGCGTACGTTAAGTTTGTTCCAGGAGCAAGAAGCTCCAAAGCTGTGCACTGAGAACA